AGCTTGAGGCTCTGTCTCAAAAAAAAAAAAAAAACAAAAAAAAACTCCTTCCTCATCCCCCTTTACATATATCTGTGACCTCTAGCTGGGCCTCTTCCTGGTGAGCGGTTGGAGTAGCCTAGAAAGAAAGCAGGCTCAGAATTTTCATTGGTTACTGAGACTCAGAGTTTCAATATCATGGAATTATTAAAATAGAATATATATTTTGAGAGAGATATTTCATTTTCTTATTTTATTTTATTGAGACAGTCCCACTCTGTCATCCTGGGTAGAGTGCTGTGGCATATTAGCTCACAGCAACTTCAGACTCTTGGGATTGAACAATCCTCTTGACTCAGTTTCCCGAGTCGCTGGGACTACAGATATATGGGCATAATGCCCAGCCAGTTTTTCTATTTTTAATAGAGATGTTATCTCACTCTTGTTCAGACTAGTGTCAAACGCATGAGCTCAGGCAATCCACCAGCCTCGGCCTCCCACAGTGCAGGCATGAGCCACTGTGTCCAGCCAAGGCAGACATTTTAAACTAAAAGTTATAAAAATTCCAGTGTTCGTGGCTTATTCAGTGTCATAAGCATCTTTAAAACTAATTCTTTTAATACCCCAACTGGTCAGTCAAGGGTATTACTTCCATTGTAGAGATACACTTTTGAGCAGAATGATGCTCATAAATGACAGGGGCAAAATTCTCATTTGAATCCAGGGCATCTGTTACTAAATCCAAAGCATTTTTCATTAAGCCACACTAGTCACTGCTCCTGGATATAGATGTATTTTCCCTCAGCTTATATTGTTCAATATTTATGGACAACAAAAAGGATAAATGCTTCATACCTGCAAGCACTGGGTTAATGATCATTTTGAAAGCTTCTCTATGCAGGCAACCAGCAGAGCCTTCTCACAAGGCAGTTAGGACAGAAGTGCCAGAGAAGTAAGCATTTATAAATCTCTCATAACAGCGGCACTGGTCTGCACAGTATTTTAGAAACCTGTATATTTCTAAAGAGGATACGAAGTACACAACAGCTTATAAAGAACCTCTCTAGGTTCTGCTTCATTATGAAATGATAAAAAAAAAAGCCAACTGTTTCTAGGTAATCAGTAAAATTAGGGACATAAGATGCAAAATGCACTCGGTGATTTGGTACTACAGAAACAGAAAAAAAAGATAATGGATCTAGTAGAGAATTACGCACAGGATCATAAAATTTAAATTGTGGCAATATGAACAGGAGTCAGCAGTGTGCAAAAATCTGAACGTATTTTTTATGTTATGTTTTTTGGTTAGACAGTACAAAAATAAGAATAAATTTTTAAATTTATTTATTTATTGTTTTCTCTGTTTTAGCTTATCAGCAAGTGAGCCAACTGACAACTGCATTTTGAAATTTACCATCTGAAAACATACTAATATTAACTTCTCATATGTGGGATGATGGTTGTCATTCTTTTATCTACTTCTGAGTACATAATGTAAAAAATCCACTTCAGGACATTTATTTATCCCTGCAGCTTATATAGAGGTATTCCTATACTGTGAGCCTTCAGAAACTGGAGTTTCAAAGACTTGACATATAAACTTCCCTGTCTCCTCAGTCATCCTCAAGATTCAGGTAAATTATGAAACACTCAACTTTGGCAATGGGTATGGACCCCTGCCCCAATAGTGCTATATTCCCACATGCTAGTTCATGAGATATATGTTAATTAAACAGAAAACAGAAATATCAAATGTTTTATTATATAGTTTCAATTGAAAAATATAAACAGTAATTACATACCATTGCATTTTAAGTATTTACATATCATTAACAAAGAAAATAGAAATGCTGGCTTTCTTGAAAAATAAGGGCCTTTCAAGTATATACTATAAAAAGGATACTAAAGACTAGGTTGGGCTCAGCGCCTGTGGCTCAACTGGCTAAGGTGCCAGCCACATACACCTAAGGTGGCGGGTTCAAATCCAGCCCGGGCCCACCAAACAATGATGGCTGCAACCAAAAAATAGCCGTGCGTTGTGGCGGG